TATTTGTTTTTTTTAATAACAAAATCTGTTATTCCTTAGTTCTTTTTTTCTTTTTTTTAACTCACCTTCATATAATAAATATATTTAAAAAAAAAAGACTATTTAATGAATCCCTGTACCCGTATCCAAATTTGGATCCATATCTACGTATTCTCAATTTTTAATTTTGAAGTGTCCGACCGCTAGATACGCACCCGCACAATATACCCGTACCCAAGTTCATGTAACATAGATGCTAGGGGCCCCTTGCCGCCATGATGCCTCCACTGTCGAAAACAAACGCAAAGCCTCCTCTTCGTGGCCTTCAAACGACAAACCTAGACAGAGACTCACCTCACTGATACGCCTGAGCACCCATTCTGACACTCCTCAGCCGACAATGTTGCAACCCCATTCAAAGTCTCTCTGCTCAATCTCAGCTCATCCTCTAAGACACTATCCGCCACTATGACAGGTTGCAACACCATAGCCACTTTCCTTACGTCAGAATCGTCACCATGCCCACCTCTATTAGCCTAGGCGGCGCCTCCAGACCCCTCGGTGTCTAGATGGATCTTCCCTTCTTCCGAATCCGAATCTACCAACTGAAAGTCAGTCCCACCGTCTGACAACACCCTCGACCCGATGCCATCGTCCATTAGATCTCGATGTACCAACAACTCCATCCCTGACGTTGCCAGTGGCCATCGCTGATGAGTGTTGTCGTCTGTTGACTCCACCCGACCCATAACCTCTAGGTTCGTATCCTTCTCCCCATGACTACCCATCTTCGCGTCGACCCGACCCACATCAAAGGACTCTGGATTAATTTGGAATGATTTTAATTACCCCAGTTCATTCCTCCTTGGGCTTGAGACTCGAACTGGGCTTTCCTCCATTGTATCCTTACGGCCCATCAGTGGATTTCTATTGTTTTTGCCTCAACCCAATGTTACTGGCCCATAACTCCTATGTTTGCATCTTGGACCTTTGTGAGACCCATCTGACCCCTCTTATAAGCCCTAGGATGACCTAACCCATTTCCCTGTTGATGGCTGGGTTTGGCCCGATTGCCCATGGGCCCTCCTACCTTCTTGAATCTCTGCAAGTAATCCTCTACCCCCAAAATCCACGTCAAATTCCGATCTGAGTGCAGAAAATATCTCATTTCCTTATATGGTCCAATTTCACCATCCTTCACGGCCAACAGCGATACCCTCTCTACTGTCGATTCTGTCTCCACCCAAACTGGCAACGAGAACCACCACAGCCCCCATCGGAGGGAAACTTGCACCAGTGTATGTTCCGAGCATCTCATACACAGCCGGAGAGAGCCTAGGTCCGCTGTCGATTCATCCGCCTCCACAAAACCACCACATCAATCGTCAATGGCGCGATGCACCTCTTCCCCACGAAGATGGATAGGCAAACCCACCACTCGAATCCAAACACTCTTCTCAAGCTTCTCTGTCTTCCTCGAAGTGCAAAGGGCCAATGGTGACCACCACTCCAATATTAAGTCTCGCCCATCCATTGTCCACTGCCGTCGCAACACTGCCTTTGCCTTATCTCTAGTCAGCAAAACGAACAAGAAAGCCTTCTCTCCCAATGGACGTACCTCCACCTTCCCCGATAGCTGCCACCAGCGACCAACCCAGTCTGAGATAGTCGCGAAGCTTAACCCCTTCCCACCCATCCCCTCCACCTTCCCCACCAACAATCTATCCAGCATCCTAAACCAGTCGACCTCCACCCTTGTGCGACTTGCCTCTTCAAACTCCCAGTGGATGGTCGATTCCTTCAAAACAGAGATAGATGCCAGCTTCTTCAATCCACTAGGTCGCACCACCCTACCAACGCCACCCCCTCCCACCCATCACCGAAGTCTAACCTAGGTATGTAAATCTGTTCTCGCCTCTTCCCTATTGTCACCACGATTTCAATCGACGAACCACCACCTACCTCGCCATTTTATTTGTTTTTTTTAATAACAAAATCTGTTATTCCTTAGTTCTTTTTTTCTTTTTTTTAACTCACCTTCATATAATAAATATATTTAAAAAAAAAAAAACTATTTAACGTATTCCTGTACCCGTATCCAAATTTGGATCCATATCTACGTATTCTCAATTTTTAATTTTGAAGTGTCCCTCCGCTAGATACGCACCCGCACAATATACCCATACCCAAGTTCATGTAACATAGATGCTAGGGGCCCCTTGCCGCCATGATGCCTCCACTGTCGAAAACAAACGCAAAGCCTCCTCTTCGTGGCCTTCAAACGACAAACCTAGACAGAGACTCACCTCACTGATACGCCTGAGCACCCATTCTGACACTCCTCAGCCGACAATGTTGCAACCCCATTCAAAGTCTCTCTGCTCAATCTCAGCTCATCCTCTAAGACACTATCCGCCACTATGACAGGTTGCAACACCATAGCCACTTTCCTTACGTCAGAATCGTCACCATGCCCACCTCTATTAGCCTAGGCGGCGCCTCCAGACCCCTCGGTGTCTAGATGGATCTTCCCTTCTTCCGAATCCGAATCTACCAACTGAAAGTCAGTCCCACCGTCTGACAACACCCTCGACCCGATGCCATCGTCCATTAGATCTCGATGTACCAACAACTCCATCCCTGACGTTGCCAGTGGCCATCGCTGATGAGTGTTGTCGTCTGTTGACTCCACCCGACCCATAACCTCTAGGTTCGTATCCTTCTCCCCATGACTACCCATCTTCGCGTCGACCCGACCCACATCAAAGGACTCTGGATTAATTTGGAATGATTTTAATTACCCCAGTTCATTCCTCCTTGGGCTTAAGACTCGAACTGGGCTTTCCTCCATTGTATCCTTACGGCCCATCAGTGGATTTCTATTGTTTTTGCCTCAACCCAATGTTACTGGCCCATAACTCCTATGTTTGCCTCTTGGACCTTTGTGAGACCCATCTGACCCCCCTTATAAGCCCTAGGATGACCTAACCCATTTCCCTGTTGATGGCTGGGTTTGGGATCTGAGTGCAGAAAATATCTCATTTCCTTATATGGTCCAATTTCACCATCCTTCACGGCCGACAGCGATACCCACTCTACTGTCGATTCTGTCTCCACCCAAACTGGCAACGAGAACCACCACAGCCCTCATCGGAGGGAAACTCGCACCAGTGTATATTCCGAGCATCTCATACACAGTCGGAGAGAGCCTAGGTCCGCTATCGATTCATCCGCCTCCACAAAACCACCACATCGATCGCCAATGGCGCGATGCACCTCTTCCCCACGAAGATGGATAGGCAAACCCACCACTCGAATCCAAACACTCTTCTCAAGCTTCTCTGTCTTCCTCGAAGTGCAAAGGGCCAATGGTGACCACCACTCCAACATTAAGTCTCGCCCATCCACTGTCCGCTGCCGCCGCAACACTGCCTTTGCCTCATCTCTAGTCAACAAAACGAACAAGAAAGCCTTCTCTCCCAATGGACGTACCTCCACCTTCCCCGATAGCTGCCACCAGCGACCAACCCAGTCTGAGATAGTCGCGAAGCTTAACCCCTTCCCACCCATCCCCTCCACCTTCCCCACCAACAATCTATCCAGCATCCTAAACCAGTCGACCTCCACCCTTGTGCGACTTGCCTCTTCAAACTCCCAGTGGATGGTCGATTCCTTCAAAACAGAGATAGATGCCAGCTTCTTCAATCCACTAGGTCGCACCACCCTACCAACGCCACCCCCTCACACCCGTCACCGAAGTCTGACCTAGGTATGTAAATCTGTTCTCGCCTCTTCCCTATTGTCACCACGATTTCAATCGACGAACCACCACCTACCTCGCCATGGACCCAAGCTGCGACAGTCCCATTACCCCCACTAAGGCGGCCCAGAAACTGTAGATTACTGGGTTCTTTCGATGCTATCTTCAATCTTGCAACCAACCATCGCATCTCCGATTTGTTCAACACCACCACCCGTCAGAGCCCCTCCCCTCTCTCAACAATGGACAGCCTGCATCACCCATCCGCACCCACCAGTGTCTCCTCAAACTCGAACGACCAGCTGCCGAGAAAGAGAATCTGCCAACGAGGTCCAATTGCTTTCTTTACTGGGAACATTCTCCTTCCTAGAATCTCGAAGCATACTATCAATCATCCAAGGTAAAATTTTTGTTCCAATCAGAAAATAAAACAATCACTCAGCAATCTTGATGCGCTCTCCATTGCATCCATCCCACTTCAATTCAATGGGTCACATCGTTCTCAACCTCTCCTTCTTTATGGATAATTGAATCAAGATAGAGAAAATGGTCACTCTAAGATATCTTTTACCCATCAACATTAACTCCATCTTTAGCCCTATTTCTATATTAAAATAAGAATAAGAAGTTGTTGCTGAGGCTGAAAATGCCAGGCAATACATTCTAAAGGCAAGACAGAAACTTTCAATTACAAAATGTAACTTAAGCCTACTAGAAAAGTACACAGAGCCATGTAGATCTATGGCCAAGATAATCCAAAAGAGTGGATATGACCAATATCTAAGCTCCATCATTCAGAAGAACAGAAAGATGTGCAGCCTTGCAGGTTGTTGGCAAAATAACTCATACAGATGAAATGGAGTGCGTTTTCGGATGTTGGCCAATCAGCATTCACATACAGTTCCAGAAGGTTTTCTAGAATAGAAATAAAGTGTTAATTTGTAGAGATTGAAGAGTCATGTGTAATTTGTAATTTCTTTTTTGTTTTTATTATATTGTCAGTGGATGATATCTACTTATCCGATCCTCCCTCTATTCTAAAATTCTCTTTTATTTAATATATTTCTTTTGTTGCTGCTCAAAATAAAGAATAGAAATAATGCCCACCAAGCTAATTACCATGAGAATTTGTGAAACTCAAGATTTGAATATAAAGTTAATAATGATAAGAGGTCTCAAGCAACAACTAGGACCTAAATTATTCAACCCAAAACGAAAATAGAGAACTGGAAATGAAGGCATTTAAGGTAAAGATGATAACCTTTCTCCGAACTATGACATTTTTTTTGATCCTGCAGTTTTCCACAAGATGAGCCTGCCAGTTGCTCGCCCGACTCCCTCACCACATCCTCCACGCAGCCATCCACTTCTCCCAACTCGGGCAAAGGATCAGAAGCATCATTTTCTGTTAATGTGACCGGAAAAGTTCTAGAATTCTCACTCTTTTCTGTTTTTTCCTCACTTGACTGAAGCTCACCCACTACTAAATCAGGACTCGAATCGGGTTCTACTAATTTCTCCTCTTTATAATCAGTTAAGGGCATTTCTTGCTCAAGCATTGGTGTTGAAGGAGCCAATGGTTCCACAGAGCTATCAACAAACCCATCAGGCAAAGAATGCGCTTCGGGAAGCTGATCCACAGCTGGGTTCTCCATTTTCACCTGCAATGTCCGCAAAATATCGAAAATTTATTAAATTGTATAATTAATATTAGAACAGCTTTGATGTCACAGGCCTCCATTACTGTTTCTAAAAGGTTTGCATTTTGTGCGAATCAAAGGAAGAAATTGAAACCCTAGATAGATTAAAGAATCAATCGTGGAACAGACGAATATAGAGTCACTGATCGTGTTACAAACATAGATATATACATAAAAATATATGTGAGCAGAAGATGAAGAGGAGTCCCTTACCAGGAAATGCTGTGGCGGACGAGTTTGATTTTTAGAGGGTGAGGTGGAGTTGAAATGGAACAGATGACCTAGCTTTTTGAATCGGATCTTTTGTTTAGTTTGGTTTAAAATTTTTTTTTTTTTTCCCCCAAAACTAGTAATTAGTTTGATAAAAATATTAAAGACATGTTTCAAAAGAAAAAAAATTTAAATGATGAGTGTTTTTTATATTATTTTATTTTTAGGATAAATTACAGGATAAATTTCTCCTTGATATTTTTGAAATTATATCCCCTCGTGATTTTTAATTGTATTACAATTTCCTTCCTCCATTGGTTACCTGTTAAATCAATTAACAGAAAAGTCTTAGGCTCTGTTTGGTTGTGAATTCAAAATGTAATTCCACATGTGTATTTCAGTATGATGTTTGGTTGTGTGTTTGGAATCAACTTTCCAAACTTCTGCAGAGAGCTCTGTATTACAGCCGCATTTTTTGTTCAAATTTTGGCCAGGGGAAGACCACGCGGACGTCCTTAGGGACTACCGCCCGGACGTCCATGGGGACATCCACCTGGATGTCCTCTGCTGTACAGGAAATTTTTTTTTTTGCAATTGATTTATATAATTGGGAAAAAAAAATTCTGAAATTTTTTTAATTTTTAATGTGCTTTAAAATAATTTTGAGTTGTATATTTAGTTATGAGTTGTAAATTTTTGTATCACATATCAAATATCACATCAACAATTCCCCACTCAAATCAAACATCTTTTCCAAAACTATTTTCAAAACTCTTTACCAAACAAATTTTCTACACTCAAATCATAATTTTACAACACACAAATTCAAAATACAATTCATACTCTCAAATCACATTTACAAAACACAACCAAACGCAACCTTATGTTAGCAAATTATTTTTCAAAAATTTAATTTTGACCCTAAGCCTTCTCTCCATCTTTCTCTTAACCCTGTCCACGAGTTGCTCCAAACACAACACCCCATATGAGTCAACAACATCAAAGCGATTGGTTGTTACAAGAACTCTCAGAGTAGATTTGCTATCAAACCCATCCATTTTTTTGCACTGTAATCTCACAACCAATGTAACCTCCTCCAAAGTATATCCATGGGCTCCCTAAGAGCCCTTGCATCTCTCGGGCTAATGCCCCCATTGCGTGTTAGGTCAGAGGAGTGGCCACATTGTTTTGACCCACACATTCTTTTTGAAGAGGGATCTTCGATTGGATCTCAGAATATTTCGATCACCCCAGCGAAGTCTACCACGGCCTCTGTCACATCCAGACGTCCTATAAGAAATAAAGATAAGATTAAATTCGTGGTTCACACTCCCACACTTACTCACCCGTTACATACGCACTAACATAATACCATACATAAACTTAAGCAAACCACATAAGCACCTTGTCACATAGAGCACATACGGACCACCCCTCTAAGATATTAAATTGTTCCATGATACTTAAAGACTTCCAAGTAGAAAAACATTGATCAGGTACCTTTTCAAAAGGACTTCGATGAGTGCAATGAAAGCAATTCGTATCCTAAAAATTTGACCTCATACCCACACAAACACATAATCATGTAAGACAGCTAACGTTCCTTCCTAGCATGGCAAACCCATTATGGCGCAAGCCACATCCCACGAGCTCAAGGTATTTAAACTTATTTAGCTCTGATACCAATTTGCAATGCTCCCAAATTATTTAAATTAAAAATAATACTTATAACATGATTAACTCAAAATTTTGCAATATCACTTAATAACATTGGCTCGAAAACCCTCTTACTCATTGAATTATACATCAAAAATTACAAACTTCCATGTTCATGTCTTAGTTACATCATCAATACCATAGTTCAAGAAGCTGGATGCTACAATTTAAAATGCCCTAATAGCTTACAAACATCAAGGCAAAGCCTTGTTACAATAAAATAGATGTGTGGTCCCAAAACAATTAAGCTTGGAGCTTCCATATAATACATCCATGAGCCTTCCTGCTCCAATCAAAAGAAAAATCCACATCTTCCTCATTGGGGTGGTTGCACATCACCAATGTTAGATAGGAATGAGCTAGATACCTAGTAGAAATACTTTTAACCAATTGTCTAATTATTCGAAGAATCCATATGGCATTATCACAGCCCAAAACACATTTTATTGCATTCATGCTAAAGATTTAAGAAAACATGCATAAGTATAATTGTGCCACCAAAACCATATCCACCACTGGGGTTAAATACGTCGTGAAGCCCCTAAGAGGATCCCCAATACATATACATATAGATTTATATCCAAAAATATCTCCACATTCGCAAGCTATTAATATGGCAAGGAATGGGCACCCAAAACCATCTGTTTTTTTACACCGACTACAATATGGCAGGACTAATGGACACCCAAAAATATTTTTCCCACATTCATCTGGCGATAAGCTCAAGACAAGGCAATAAGATACCTAGACTTTCCCCCGCGCGGGTACCAATAACACACAACACTTTCCAAAACCGACTCTCTACCCGAACTCACACATTATTTGCCACCCCCTTACACAACCTTTCCAAACTTCCAAGAATTTGTATATTCATGAGATAAAGAGTAAATTTCACCATTCAAGTAATTGAAACGAATATGGAGAAACAATCGTCATAATTCAAAAGAAAATCTCAAGAGTTACTAATTCCATAAGTCTTAAATCAATATAACACTCAAAATCTCATAATTCATACATCAATTTAAAGAATTGAAAATTAATTCCAGTTAATCACATCCTTCCTCAATTTCAAAAGTTAGGATTTTCATAAAATTTGGGGTTTTTGCTCCTTTGTTAAATGTCATTTCTCAACTAAAATCTCCAAAATCCATAGTCATTAATAGAAATATTAAGAAAATGTAGAGAAAATTTTCATTTTTGAAAACAAAACTCAATTTTGTAAACTTAAACATTTAATTATAACATCAATGTCATAATAGCACCACATAAACATCCTCAAAATAAAGAGATACAAGGATAAAAGTAATCCTACCTCAAAGATGAAAAAGTAGAGAAGCTAGATCAAAAAGATTCCTTCAAAAAATCCAAAATCCAATTGGTGGAAAGGCCTAATCTTCGTGTAAACTTCAATTTTTGTAAGGAATGGAGGTGTAGATCTTAGTAGAATGAGAGATTTCTAGAGTGACAGAGCTAGGGTTTTTGGAGCTAGGGAGAGAGAAGAGAATGAAGAAAAGAAAAAGTATAGAAAATGATCTAAAAAGTAACTTTTAAATTGCTAAAATTGTGTAGACCGCTCGAGCGGTCTTTTCATCGCTCGAGCGGTGAACTTAAACTCTCAGTATGTCCGCTTGCAAAACAAGATACTAAGGACTTCCTTATTTCGCTCGAGTGACAACTTGACTGCTCAAGTAATTCTCTTCTACACCCAACCTACAAAACAAACTACTAGGATCCCCTCATCTCTACTCGAGCGGTCTTTTCACCGCTCGAGCAGTCACTTGGAATGGATTGTTACATTCTAGCCTTGTGTGATGCTAGTCTTGCCATTTTTTTCCCTACTTGTAGGTATTCTAAAGAAAATTACATTGTTACTTGCCTGTTTTTTGATTATATGAGATGCAAAAAGGTAAAAAAAAATGAAAATACTTTAATTACGTTGGAAAGTAAAAAAGAAAAATAACTAATGAAAAAATTAAAAATATGTGAATGAAAAATGTGTAGCTCCGTTCAGTTTGATTTTGGTCTGTAAGATTTGGATTTATGGGTGGGATATTGTTTTAGTTTTTTAAATAGGCTCAACCCATACCAACCCGTTGTTTGGTTAAAGCCCGAAAAACTCAGTTAATATATGGAATTTAGACACAATAGTAGCAGGCTGGGTAAGCCCGGCCAGTCCCATTAATGACCTCTACCTGCACCTACTGCAAATCAATTAATCTTTTAATTTTAAGATTGAGGAGACTCAAACCAGTAACCTTCACTACTATTGTCAACCAGAGATTTGAGAAAGTATGGAGGCTTGAGAATACATAATCATTATACATATAAATACGCTGATAATATATATATATACACTTATGCAAATAGAGAAAATGAAAGAGAAGGGAGAGGGAAAAAGGGAGATCAATTACAAGATGTTTTGGTGCTTAAAGTTCGAGATCAACAAGGCAGAGACACCACTGAACATGAAGAAGTCATTTGTGAAAGGGAAAAATAAGTCTTTGGTTATCGCACATGTTGTCGAAAAGTCAAGAAAAATGGGTTTGGACAGTGAATTGGGTTTGACATATGTACGTATATATGTGTAGATATGAGTATATACACATGCAAAAAAATGAATTTTTTTAATCTTTGATTCTCCAACCCACAGTGCATTGTATTTGTCTTGTCCCTCTCTGTATATATAGCTATATATGTAGTATAAAAATGGCTTTAGGCAGTCAAAAGTTCAACATGTATCAATATAAGATGTGTCCTACCATTCATCAACGGAGTTACCAAGGGACTTGGAGGGTCACGTGCCTCCTTGAATTTTCAAATTTTTTTTTTAAAAAAAAAGTATTAGCTTATTGTTGAACACTTATAGCAGCCTCATACCACATGCAGCAGGCCCCACCCAAAGTCTCTTAAGTCTAACAGTGTATGAAACCTATTATTTTTTTGTTCACATAGCACTTGGTCAAGTTCTTTTTTTTGTTTTCTTTGTCTCACTTTGTTGCTCGCAGTTTGTTGACTCGTCGATTCACCACTAACTCATAGATCGGAACCAATGCACACAACACAGATTGGGACCACACCATAACCCTTGGCCTCTTCTCTTCACTATTTTACAAGTAACATTCTTTCTTATCTTTTACTTTTATGATGTTCCAAGTCTTTTAAAAACCAATTAAGTAATGTTAATTTGAGTTTGATTTTTATTTTTATTTTTATTTTTAGAACTACTATTGTTATTGGAACCCTGATAATCGTGCATTGTCATCTACTCCTTGTTTCCGAACTTATTCATGTTCTAGGTTGTGTTTCCAAGGTGAACTTTGAGTTTTTGGGTGTAAGAGTGAACTAGGGAAGGATGGGAATACCCTAGGATATATTTTTGCCTAAATTAAAATCTGGGTATATTCGAGCGCAACTTTCCT